AATTTTTTGTACTACACAAAATGTGTCGTACTACACACAATTTTAGGGACTGTTGCTATGCTATACATTAGGTGTCTGTAATATAAATTCACTGTTATGGATATGTTAAATTTGAATTCAATAATATAAAATCATTGTATACGAAAAACGATTTTGAGCAGAGACGGTATGTCAGCCCAGGGACGGATATTGCCGACTGGCCTCTCACACGTATAATGTTTGGCCCCTATGATTTCATCCCTATTTTTCCAGTATAGTTATAATATAATCAATAGCATTCACAGAGCCGTGCCGTTACGATTTGGCGCCCGGGGCAAAATTAAAAATATTCGCCCCCTATTTTATTTATCATTAATCATAATGCGTTTCATTCCTATTTAATTAAATTAAATTTTTTTTTTACAACGTATTTTGAACATTAATTTGACAAAAAACTAAAGTTAATTGTAATAGTAATTATTAAACAAAATAGTTAGGTATAATTTATTAATTTATACCGTATTAAATAATTAAAAATGATAAAAATCACAAATTATATTATATATACATGTTATATTTACAAACGTATCATAAGAGCGTATCATATATAAGTATCATATAGTTAAAACTTAATTTTTCTGGACTTTATTGAAGCAAAATCTTCAATGACGTCTTCAAAATCAATGTTTTTTGTTATTTCATGCTCAATTGATAATATTGCAGAATTGGTTAATCTGTTTTGCGACATGGTTGACCGTAAATACGTCTTAGTTAGTTTCAATTTACTAAAAGAGCGTTCCCCGAAGCGACGGTAACAGGCATGATAAGAAACAATCTATATGCAGTCATTAAGTTTGGACAAGTTGAATCAAGTTCATATTTTTTAATTGCGTTTAAAATATTTAAAGCAGTTGCGTTTAAGTCTGGTAAAATTGCTTTTACTTGATAAAAAAATTCGATTTCGTTAATTATTTCCTGGTCAATATCTTCGTTGTATTTGATAGCTAAATCAGCTGCATATTTTTTTAATTTTTCAACTGGTGTAACAGATAGTGAATGAGCAGAAAGGAATTGAAAATCATCAGCAATATTTGATAATTGTTCAAACCTCCATTTCATTTGAGCCATCATATTATCAAGAACTTTGTAGTATTCCAATGTTAARAATTGATCTGCAGAAATATCTTCACCCGATGAATTTTCTCCACTCATAACTTTCCTTTTTATTGTCCTTTTGATTTTTAATTCAGATTTTATTYCAACTTTATCACAAATACAATACAAATTGGTTGACTAATTGTTACTCCTCAAACATAGTCAGAAATTTGTTCAGAAAAAATTTGTAATGGTCCAAAATAATTGTAAAACAATAATCTTTCTCATATATTTTATTTATGTAAAGTTTAAAATATTATAAAAATGTTTGGCGCCCCTTTAAACCATGCGCACGGGGCATATGCCCCCTAGGCCCCCCCCACGGCACGGCTCTGAGCATTCACATACTATTTATTACTAGAATATTATGAGTTTATTAATGTTTTTCTCTAAATCCAAGCATATTATACAACATATTGTTATTGTGATTACTTTTGATTTTTGTTATCTACAACACAACACTTATTTTAYAAACGATGGTTTTTTGGTACAGCGTAGCTAATTTTAGAACAGATAAAACGGATTACAATATTTTACAGTCGATAATAAACGGGGAAAGTATAACTGATAAGTGACTAAAATGTTTTTAGAAAAATATACATTAATTTTGACTAATTTCACCTTTTGTATTTTAAGTTATTTTTTCCCTTTAAATTAAAATATATTAGGAGTTAAAAATCTACTCTAACCCWCTAACCCACTTACTACTGTACTATACGGCATACGCTCTGTTCCATTTCATAACAAGTTTCTGAGTACGAGGATTATTGTGGCCTCAAGTAACAAAATTTCTGACTGGCCTCATAGATGGCCAGTCCGCCCTCGTGTCAGCCCATTATGTTACTAAATAGGTTATAATATGATTGTGATTCAAGTAATTTTTTTAATATATTCCACGCAATAGTACTATAATAGGTTAAATTATTTTTTTTCGAAAAAAATAAACATTTGGAAAAATTGTGTCATTGTGTGTATAAAGTATAATAATATTGCTACTCTTAAAGCTTAAAATACCAATGAATATACTATTAATATACCTGCCTACTTTTTAATTTACAACAAAAGATTAAAAATCTTAATTTTTGTTTAAATATGTAATTTCGTCCAAATTTGAAATAACTATTAAAAAAACTGTGGTTAAGTAACCTTAATATGAAAGCTGTGTGATCATGATTTCATTATTAGATTTTATCACAGTTGAACCTTCTAGAATAATTATTAAAAATAATTAAATATAGTGGGTGAATAGGTTATATAATAGCTAGGGTAAATAAAAAATTGTAATGAAGATAATAGGTTAATATTTTGGTTTGATAAATGTTCATTGCATAGGCACAAATATAGTGTTTTAAATCTGGGGGGGGGCTGAAGCTGTAGCTCAGATCAGGTTACTGAATACTTTTATGATGCTTTTAAATTAAATAATGTTTATCATGTAGTAAAATCATTTGTTTTTATTGGGGGGGGGGAGGCTAAGCCCACTATTTGCGCCTATAGTTCGTTGTTATAAATATTAATTTGTGTTGCAATTTGTGATAAATTTAGCACAGTGTGAACTAACATTTACCGAAAGTCCAGACATTGGTTACGTGTGCTTGTGGGTTTTGAAGAATTCGTCATACCCAGATTATGTAGCTCATACTCAATCCGGTGCCATGTGTTTAAGTTTTCACCATGACTTGGGTTATCTCCTTGCCGTTGGACTGCGTGACGGCAATTTAGCCGTATACAACGTCAGYTTACTGAAAAATGAACCACAATACTCGACGCACTCAGCTGGTAATAAACTCATGGCTAGTGTAATGCAGGTATACAAAATGGGTTTTTATAAATAACGTTTGGTTAACTTACACGATACACTAGATACAATTAACAAGTATATTAAACTTAAATATTGTCTAGGTAGTTTGGTGCAAAAACTTGCCTACCGGTKAGTTGAACTTCTTCTCTGTGTCTGAAGATGGATTGGTCTGCCAATGGATACTGTTACAAAATGAATTGTTGAAAGTTGTGAAAATGTCTCTAGTCATAGATATGTATCCAGAAATCGAGCTTGGTGGTATCAAACAAACTTATCATGGTAATATAATTCTATAATAATATAACGGTTTTTTGTATTTTTTGTATTTAAAAATATGCATACATTACATTTGTTTACAGCCAGAGGTACAACGATCTCATTTAATCCAACAGATCCAGAAATATACTTAATCGGTACAGTTGAAGGTTTTATTTTTAAATGTAATACGGAATGGAGTGTTTATGTTCAGAGATTTAAAGCTCACGAGATGCCGATAAACCGAATAGATTTTAATAAATTCGATTCAAATATATACCTTACGTGTAGTGAAGATTTCGTTATCAAATTGTGGGAAGACAAATCCAAGTGAGTTTAACTCATATACTTTTAAATTTGATCATGGTTAACAGTATTAATACATTCATATATTCATACAACATACTCCTTTGAGTCCGTTGAACGATTTAAGGCCAGATGAATCCTCATTTCGTGGACACGTGTTATCCATAATATAATTATTTTAATTTACTACTAGGGAGGTTACGATTTTAGGTACCTACCATTTTTTWAAATAAAGTGTTAGACATTTATACTATAATAATAAATAAATATCTTCGTCAGGTAGATAGTAATCGATTTTAGATTTGGTATACTACATATGGATATGGTTTTATTTGTTGGTAGCCTAATATTGACGATTGTGTTGACATTTATTTGAAATTGCCTATCAGTAAACATTAAACATTCAACAATTTTGCGCTCAATAGTGTTTTTAGCCTGATTTTGTATTAGTTTTACGCAGTATATTTGTGCAGGTTATATTATATGAACGCTCGTATGATACCCGGTTACTGTTCATTGTGTCACTGAATAACGATTTATATATATGTGTATAACGAACCAGGCACCAGCTAACCAGTTTGGTTAGCTAAACATTCAAATGTCTCAACAATCTAACAAAATATCAATATTTATTGATATTACCTTTCTACATAGGCGCAACTAGGGTCAATTTTTTTTTTTTTTTGGGGGGGGGGGCTAGAATTGTATAAGTCACACTAACCCGCAGGGGCTTCACCCCCGCACCACCAAAAGCTTATAAACCGGATGGCTACTTACAAATAAATAAATACACAAATAAAATCATATGATATTATGATTTTACAATATTTTATTTAAGTTAATATTCAATAAAATACTAATTTTCTATTACTGCACCAAATTTATCAATAATTGTTTTGTCTTCAAACTATTTGTTAGATCCCTTTCAATATTTATTATTGATAAATTTAAAAATCCCTCTTGTGTCATTGCCGTCTTCTGCTAAGTTTTTAATCTACGCATTGAAGTCATGGCTTTATTTGTTGGGGGAGGGATACAAAAATATTTGAGGGCTAAGCCCCCTAGCCCTCACCTAATTGCGCCTATGCCTTCTATAGATTAAAATTTGTTTGTGTGAGAGTGTTTTTTTGATACTTATTGCATGTTAATTTTTGTAACGATAATTGCAGAGTTCCTTTAATAATATTCGACCTTCAGACGGGTTTGACGGACGTGCGTTGGTCGCCATTCTCTAGTTCAGTATTTGGTGTTATCACTGTGGACTGTCGTGTACTTTTTTATGATTTGGACGTGAGCACTAAAAATTGCGTTTGTGAACAGCTTATACATCCAACCGAAAAATATCGACTTGTTMGATTAGCTTTTGACAGGAGAGTACCGTTGATTGTGGTTGGAAGTTCAAGGTAATCATTACATAAATTTTTTATTCAAGAACTTTAACAACATATAGGACTCTTGTACGTTTGTTTTCACAGGGGTACTATCGTTACGTACAAATTGTCACCAACTCTTCGTGCGATTATGAAATCTCCAAAGAAAGGAGTTCAGATTCCTACCGAAACACTGGAGTTAGAAAAATTGCATACAGTGTTGAACTCAGTTAGGGAATAAACTTTTTAATCTTAGTTCTGATTAGTTATGACAATAATTCTATATATTTTTTGATATAATGTTTGGTTTATTCTATTCGATAAATAGGTGAGGATAGGCTATAGATCAAGGAATTACTAAATAATAATTTTAATACAAAAACGGTTTCACAAATTAGTAATCAATTATAGATGGTAACCTTGTATTGGAATTTGTAACTTTGTAACTCGGTATCACCACCCATGATCAATTTTTCATTTACTAGTGCTAGTCTCAATTTCAACCATAAAACTATTATTAGAACATTATTTTCAGAATTTTAAATTTCATAATTTTCTTGAAAAGTAAAAGGTGGTGAATTGCAGCCTCTTTATTTCGTCCTAAAATTAAAAAAAATACATTCTTAATCATTTACATTTCCAAGTGATAAAAATATCTTTATTATTATATCATTTTTTAGATACGTCATWTATTAATTTATTGTAATACATATCAACTTTAACGCTTATGTCACCTATAATTATTGTTGCGGTCGGATTTTAATGGACTGTATATGTATAGCTGTGTTTTATATTTATATTAAGACTTAAAATGTATTAAAAAAATTTTTTTTTACATTTAAGTAATTTATTGTGTTCTGAGACAGACATGATGACACGAAGTTAGACACACACTGACACACTAAAGCTTACTTAAATAATAAAAAATCGATTGCGCCGATAAATAATAATAATAACACTAAACATAAATTATATAATACATTCGTCAACATGCCACCGCCTTGAAAAATTAGAATATTTATATAATAAAAAAATACATACAAATTATTTTTCAACCAAGTTTCACGATAAATAGAAAAACAAAATGATAAATAATATAAATATAAAAGTAAATACATTATTACACATAAACAAATTCGACATAATAGGTATTTTGGATGTCAAAGAAAATTATTTAAAAAAAATTATTTTGTTGTTATTTTATGAACTATTATTTTACTATTACTTATCCACATAAGACAAAGTTTACGGACTGATCGGGATATTTCCTCTCCTCGCACTAATATAGTTGCTACACGAATGAAACTGTTGTCACCGGCTTGGACATGGACAACTAGACCCGATCCTGAAATCGGGGGCACGCCTTCTTTTTTTACCAAGACTATAGTACCGGGCGAATGTAAGTTCCTACACAAGATATAGCAGGCAAAAATTACCCCAAGATATCCATACGTAAGTTCCCACACTAAAAAAATACACTTGTACGTAAGTTCCCACACGAAAAAAAATTATACCAAACACCAAGGCTGGGCAAAGAAAAGTAACTTAACTTAATTTAAAGTTAACATTTTCTTATTTTCAAAATAAAAAATTTCAGACACATAATAATGTTTATATAAATTGCTTATAATTTTAACTTTTAATTCGTTAATGCTCAGCCTTTAACCGATCTTCAGTGTAGGACCTTGTTGGCCAATAATTTTTATCTAGTTTGAAGTTTCAACAAGATATTTCCATAATATTTGAGTTAACTGGGTTACTCGCTGCCAACGTTTTATACAATTGTCTAGTATACCAGCCAAATCCGGTTCAGGTAAAGAATATGTTTGCTTAGCTCACCAATCAAACAATGAGCTGGTGTTAATGGTGTCGTATCAGTAGGATCGAAGAAACAAGGAGTTAAAGGTCTATCACGGCTACACATAGTTCCAATCGCGGGAGTGATATAACTTTTAAGAATGCGACTTTAGATTTTGCACACAATAAATACGACGTACAGACGCCACTATTCCTCAACGTGTACGAATATACTCGCACCATAGGCGGCTAAACTATCGTCAGCGAAACCATGAACCTCAATATCATAATTATCATCAGTACATAAAAAAAGCGGTATCATAATTCATGTAAGCTTTCCAATTCATGTAAATATGAATTCGTGCATTTCCGTTGGTACTGGTTTATTACAGTAAATTTTTAACCGMCAAATTTCTTGCATTAAAGTTGGTCGAATAATAATGCTATTTTCGCCAGTATATGCTTCTTTTTGTTGTCGATTGAGTTTCCAACTTTGTATCTTGTACTTTATATTAAAATATATCCTTCCTTGGATGCTACAGGACTTTGAGAACTTTCGCCATTTCATTTTCTAATTTAAGAACCAACATGGAATCACTATTTTCTGTATTTAAATTTCGTGATAACAACGGGTCATTCGCAGATAATTTTCATAAATTAAAGCCACGGGGTTGTAACACAGTTCGTAAATCATTACACTGTACGGCCAACTCTTTCGTATTTTCACCACCCAAATAATCATCCATGTAAAAATATTCGCGTAGATTGTTCTTTATCGTCACGCCAAATTATTTTTGATATTTGTGATGCTCCGGTGCAACCCAAATTTGACGGTACATATTCTAWATGTCCGCGGGTATCGCATATTTATGCGTACAAAACCTAGTTAAAATATTTAATAAATCGTCTTGCATCGTACTATGCTCTTTTAATAGTATATTGTTTAAGCTAATGCCTGTATGGGTTTTACTAGATCCGTCGAATATTATGCGCAGGCGAGGAGTGATACTATCATCGTTTACTACGGCATGAGGCGGTAAAATATTGCCGAATTCATTGACGACCCTTCGCCCGCGCTACCCAGCAGTTCCATATGACCAAGAAACAGGTATTCCTTCATGAATTTCTGATTATCTTCACTTAATTCAACATCAAGCCGTAATCGCTTTTCTATGGATAAGAATCGTCAGAACGCGTTTTTATACGAATTACCTAGTTTGCTACCATCCTCAAGGAACGGTAATGCACGAACAATTTTCCCTTTATCCTCACGCCAAAACATTTTTAATAAAATGGTCGTAACAAGCTCTTTYCTCTAAAGTGTAATTTGTATTTTTATTTATGTTTTATAATCTCTAAAATGTCGCAATCCTTCCATCTAAATTGTATAGTATGTRTATGTGTGACAACTTGATGCTTAAAGTGGACGGGGTCGTCGATCAAGATAGATAGCTGGGTATTGGTGGGTAATAAGTATATGTGTGGTAACGTACGATAAAGCCAGTTATTTTATCATCTAGGTATACCTCGCTTTATTATATTTACGACCTTTACGATGATTTCCCACTTAAACTTAGTACCTGTGAGAAACCAAAATCCATAGCTTGGATTTATTAATATGAAATAACTAGGTAATTTGTACTATACATGCTACTTACCATATTGAATCATCATTGACTTCTTGCTTGTATAATCCACCTTGATTTTATTTAGTACGTGTACTTGATTCTACGGATTGCTATGACTTTTATTAAGCTATGCGATTTCCGATCCGGGTCGAAGAACCAATGTTGCAGTCAGATTTTAGTGGAGTGTATAGGTATATATATAAAAACTGTGTTTTTATATTTATAATTAAGATTTAAAATTTAAAATTTATAAAAATAATTTTTTTTTACATTTAAGTAATTTATTGTATTCAGAGACGGGTGCGATGATATGCATATGAACACACAGTTAGACACACACTTAAGCCTACATACGAGTAAATAATAATAGAACATTGATTGCGCTGATATCGACGAGAATCAGATAATATAAGTATACAGATAATAATAATAATAACTACATCAATTATATAATACACGCGCCAACAATTATAATTGCCTCTAGATAATATACATAATTTACAAATATGTGGCGCAATCCGGGGTGGATTAGGTGGCAAGAGATCCGAGAGGTTAATCACTAATCAGCAATTAGGACCCAGGATTTAACCTATTAGGTATTTAGTAAGAATTTTATCTAACTTGACCTACCGGGCGATTGTAACCTCGGGTACAGGGCAGTTTTTCGAAAAATGATTAGACATTTTTATCGCTAACCTCTTACATGTATGCCAACGTAACAGAATAAAATATCTCAATTATTCAAAATACGATTTATCAAGTAGGTACTTTACTACCGCTATTAATTTAAAAAAGCTTAGTTAAAAAGTTATTTTTTAAACTTTTTAACTTAACTAATATTTAATAAACAATTAATATAACTTAGTTTTTCACAGTTGGTTTAAAAAAAAACCATCAAGTTAAAAACATTTTTAAATTGTTCGTTTACACGTAAATATTACTATATTAGTATAAAATAAAAATAAAGTATAATATACGTACAGTCGTGTAAATTATGACAAAAGTTCAATAAAATTGTTTTTTATAATTTATAAATTAGAAACTAGGAAGACACATTCACTCTTTATGTGATTTACATACCAATTAAAAAAAAGATTAACTTTTTTTAAACTAAGTTCAGTTGATATTTTTTTCCATATTAACTTTTATCTTATCCAGTTAATGTAAATCTAATGAATCACTCACTAACCTAACCTAAGGAATAAACTCCTCGGAAAAATCTTCGGATGTGACCGGACAAATTAACAACTCCTGTGTTAACTCATCTTGTTCCGCATCACTTGAAATACTGTCCGCGACATTTTTCTTGGAAAGATATCTCACCTTGGTGAGATTTTCACTTTTGACCGGAACATTTTCAATCCTAGGTGATTTTTCCGACTTGTTGTCCAGGTGGCCGGACGACCTTTCCGTCACCGAACCATTTACGATTTTTTACCATTTACCATTGTTACGAACTGTGGTTCCTTTACCGCGGAACATCGCTTCCAAGTTCCAATGGACTTTGTCGGATGGGTTTGGTGATTTCTCCGATGTTTCCCCGGAGGTTCGACGGTTTTCACCGGACAACTCCTCATTTCGGAGGTTATCTTCGGGTGACCAAAGTTTCCCTCCAGGGGAATTCCGTTCTTACCGGATTTCGCGGGTCCAGAACTCGTCCGGCCCGATTTCTTCGGACCCTTTCTCGAGTCTCCGATCCGTAACGCTACGAAGTTCCGTTTCATCGGGTCAGTTCTTGTAATTTGTGGTTCCTGTACCGGAACGTTAATCCCCGCCATCGTTGAACTCCGTTGTTTACCTCTTTTCGGACGACTCG